TCAAGGAGTTAGGGCCACTGACTTCTGACTATACTAATCAAAACAGAATGGTACTGGCTCAAAAAACAGACATAGAGATCAATGCAACAAGATAGACAGCCCAGAAATAAATGCAAACATCTATGGTTAATTGCTCTCTAGCATAGGAGGTAAGACGATGCAATGGAGAAAAGATAGTGCCTTCAATAAGTGGTGCTGGGAAAACTGGACAGCTACATAGGGCTTCCCTGGTAGCTCAGTTGGTAAAGAATCCATCTGCAATGTAGGAGACCCCGGTTTGATTCCTGGGTTGGGAAGATCCCCTTGCAGAAGGGCTCTAGTATTCTTGGGTTTCCCTTGTGACTCAGCTGGTAAAGAATCTGCTTTCAGTGTGAGAGACCTGGGTTTGATCCCTGGGTTGGGATGATCCCCTGGAGAAGGGAAAGGCTACCCACTCCAGTATTCTTGCCTGGAGAATTCCATGGTCTGTATAGTCTGTGGGGTCACAAAGAGTCGGACACAGCTGAATGACTTTCACTTACACTTTTCACATTTAAAAAATTAAATTAGAACATTTTCTAACATCACACACAAAAATAAACTAAAAATGGATTAAAAACCTAAATGTAAGCTTAGATACTATAAAACTCATAGAGGAAAACATTGGCAGAACACTCTTTGACATAAATCATAACAATAACTTTTTGGGTCTACTTCCTAGAGTAATGGAAGTGAAAACAAAAATAAACAAATAGGACCTAATTAAACTTAAAAGCTTTTGTACAGCAAAGGAAACTGTAACAAAATGAAAAGATAACCCACAAAATGGGTGAAAGTATTTCCAAATGAAGTGACCAACAAGGGATTAATCTCCAAAATATTCAAACAGCCCATGCAGCTCAATTTAAAAAGAATCTTATTTAAAAAATGGGTGGAAGGTCTCAATAGACATTTCTCCAAAGAAGACATAAAGATGGCCAAAAAGCCAATATGAAAAGATACTCAATATTGCTCATTACTAGAGAAAGGCAAATCAAAACTACAATGAGGTATCACTTCACATTGGTCAGAATGGCCACAATGAAAAAGTCTACAAACAACAAATGCTGGAGGAAAGTGTGCAGAAAATGGAACCCTCCTACACCATGGGAATGTAAATTGGCAAAGTCACTATGGAAAACAGTATGGAAGTTCCTTTAAAAAGTAAAAATAGAGCTACCATATGATCCAGCAATCCCACTCCTGGGCATATATCCAGAGAAAACCATAAATTGAAAAAATACATGCACCCCAATGTTCATTATAGCACTATTTATAACAGCCAAGACATGGAAGCAACCTAAATGTCTACAGACAGATGAATGAATATAGAAGATGTGGTACATACATAAAATGGAATATTAATCAGCCATAAAAAGAATGAAATAATGACATCTGCAGCAACATGGATGACCTATAGATTACCATACTAAGTGAAGTAAATCAGAGAAAGACAAATATCATATGATATCACTCATATGTGGAATCTAAAAAAATGATACAAATGAGCTTATTTATGAAACAGAAACAGACTCAAAGACTTCAAAAGCAAATTTATAGTTACAATAGGGGAAAGGCTGAGGGTGAGGGATAAAGTTGGAGGTTGGGATTAGCATATACACACTACTATATATAAAGCAGATAATCAACAATGACCAACTGTATTACATGGGAAACTCTACTCAATATTCTGTAATAATTTGTATGGGAAAAGAATCTGAAAAAGAATAGATAAATATATATACATATGAATCATGTTTCTGTATATCTAAAACTAACACAACATTGTGAATCAACTATATTCCAACAAGCAACTCATACAGCTCAATATTAGGAAAACAAACAGCCCAATCACAAAATGGACAGAAGACCTAAAGACACTTCTCCAAAGAAGACATACAGATGGCAAAGACAAAAGATGTTCAACATCACTAACTTATAGAGAAATGCAAACCAAAACTACAATTAGGTATCACCTCATAAGAGTCAAAATGGCCATCATCAAGAAATCTACAAATAATAAATGCTGGAGAGGATGTGGAGAAAAGGGAACCCTCCTACACTGTTGGTGGGAATGTAAACTGATACAGCCATTATGGAGATTCCTTAACAATCTAGGAATAAAACTACCATATGACTCAGCAACCCCACTACTGGGCATATACCCTCAGAAAAAAATAATCGAAAAGATACATGTAGCCCAGTGTTCAGAGCAGCACTGTTTACAATACCCATCACATGGAAGCAACCTAGGTGTTCATCAACTGATGAATGGATAAAGAAGATGTGGTACATACACACAATGGAATACTACTCAGCCATAAAAATAATAAATTTGAATCATGTCAGTTCTAATGAGGTGGATGAACCTAAATCCTGTTATAAAGAGTGAAGCACGTCAAAAAGAGAAAAACAAATATAGTATGTTAAGACATATATATGGAATCTAGAAAAATGATGCTAATGAAACTATTTTCAGGGAACGAATGGAGATGCAGATGTAGAGAATGGACTTGGGGACATCGTGTGGGAGGGAGAGAATGGCATGAGTCGAGAAAGTAGCATCAACATACATACACAATCAAGTGTAAAAGAATAGCTGGTGAGAAGTTGCTGTGTAGCACCGGGAGCCCAGTCTGGCTCTCTGTGATGCCCTGGAGGGATGGGATGGGGGTAGGGGAGGGAGGCTAGAGACAGAGGGGATGTATGTATAATTTACACTGTTGTATGGCAGAAACCAACATGAGATTGTAAAAAATTTTTAAATTTAAATAAAAAACAGAGAACAAAAAACTACCATATGATCCAGTAATTCCAGTTCTGGGTATTTATCTGAAGAAAACAACACTGTAAGGCAAAAAGCTGTAGGTACCCCCCTGTTCACTGCAGCATTATTTACAATACCCAGGATATAGAAACAACCTAAGTGTCCATCAGTGAATAAATGGATAAAGCAATTGTCATGTGTGTATACACACACACAAAATGAAATATTGTTCACCCATAAAAATAATGAAATCTTGTGATCTGAGACAAAAATGTGTGGATCTTGAGGGTTTTATGCTATGCAAAATAAGTCAGACAGAGAAAGGCAAATAGTATATGACCTCACTTACATGTGGAATCAAAAAAACCTCAAATGAATGAACAAATAAAATAATTGAGAAACTGATATATACACACGGAGAACAATTTAAAGAAACTACTTGTGGTGATTGCCGGAAGGGTGAGGGAGGAGCTGGGGATGAGTGAAACAGATGAAGGGGATTAAGAAGTACACACTTCTGGTTATAAAATAATTAAGTCATGGGGATACAATGTGCAGCATAGAGAATACAGTCAATAATGCTATAATAACTTTGTATGGTGACAAGGGGAAACCAGATTTATCATGGTGACCACTTTGAAATGCCTATAAATATCCAATCACTATGAGGTACACCTGAAACTAATATGATGTTGTATGTCAATTAAACCTTGGTGAAAAGCATAAAACATCATAAAAAGCAGATGAGAGAAGACTAGAAATGTTAACTACTTGTCTTTGAAAACACATAAAAGGGAATTTTTCTTCTTTTTTCTTCTTTATATTTTCATTTCTCAAAGCAGAGGTACTAGTTCTATCATAAAAAAAATCACACCTTAAATCTGTCCCACCCCTCTCACACACATAGAAAAAAAATCAAATATAAGCAGTATCAGGTGTATCAAAAATAATGTGAGCCAGGCAGAATGGAGAAAGGTGGACTGATGTCTAGGCTTTGAAGGGGCACGTTGTGGCCTCCTGCTCTCCAGACCTCATTGTCAGTTCCTGGATTCCTAACCCTTGAATACTTAAGGACCCCAGATTCTGCTAAGAGAAGCAACAGAAAGGGGCCAAAAGAAAAACTGAATGTATGCAATGGATATGATACAATCCTTTAAGTAACTGAGTAGGCTCTGTGTACCGAGGTGTACTCTACAAACTTAGAAACTGGAAGAAGTGACTCAGGCCTTTCCCCCAACTCTTCATCTCCAGTGGGACTTTCACACAAGCCATTAAAAGAATGGTCTAGATGGTGGTACTCCCAACCTGACGATTGCAGCATAGCTTACATTTTAACAAAGGAGTACAGAGAAATGTCACTGCTGCTTCCTCTCCACATCCCCCACCTCCCTCCCTGGACTTACCTCCTTAAAGAAGAACTGTTCTGTGAAGATCTCATAATGGCTGTAAGCCTGGACCCCAGCTCCAAGGATACACAACACTTCACTGTTGGGAGGCTTCAAAAACTATTTGAGAGAAAGGAGATAGAAAAGATCAAGACAGACTCTTGAAGCAAGAAAAGAACAAAGAAAAGTTAAAAAACAAGGAACCTCAATCAAAAACCCCCAAGCAAACAAAGAAAAGGCAATTTGGAATTCCAATTCCAACCCGGAAGGGGCCGGCAAGAAAAAAAAACCCTCAACGGGGAACTAAAAAAAAACAAAGCCTAAACCTCATGATCTCTTTTAGTCCAGACAATTGACCCTATGCGCTAGATGCTCCCACAGTTATCCTCTTCTTACAGATAAAGAAATTGAGGTCCAAAGAAGTTATGTAACTTGCTCAGAGCCCTGTAATTGTTAAATGGCACAGTAGGGCTCCAAAACCTCGTCTTTCTCCAACGCCCACATGCTTTCTCCTCTGCTACCCCATCTCAGGGACATGATAAGCCAACCTACTTCTCAGAGCTGTTGAGTTGCTTTTGGAACCATGAATCCTTGTGAACTTAGGTTCTCAAATGATATTTGCTGTGCCTACTCTCTGTTGATCCTGTCTCAGCCTGTCTTCCTTAAGAGGAATGTAGAGATGGCATTTGTGGGACCTCCTCAGGGTATATGTGTGTCTTTATTTGGGAGTGATGTTGTGTGATCAGCTCTCCAGTAAAGTCTGACCTCTCTGATAGAGTTTACCACTTCACAGCACTTGTTTGTTTACAAATTTATTTTCCTGTACTGCTGTATAAGTCCCATTAAAACAGAGACAGTCTTATTTGCACAGAATTGGCAAGAATCTACTATTACCTATGAGAAATAGAGCAGGGTTTCTTGACCTCAGCACTCTGATATTTGGGCTGGATAATTCTTTGTTGGCAGGGTTTGGGTGGCTGGCAGGTGGGAGGGCTGTACTGTGCACTGCACGATGCTTGGCAGCATCCCTGGCCTCTGTCCATTAGCACCCCCTATGCCCTCAGTTATGACAACCAAAAATGTCTTCAAACATTGCTAATTGTCTCTGGGGCAGTTGGTCTCTGGAAACAGTTGGTCTTAACTGCTTCCAGTTAAGAACTACTGGCATTGAGAAAGGACATCACTTGTGCCTCAAATCATCCATGTTAAATAAGACCATCTTCTGTCTTTTCTCTATCTCATTTAACAAAAGTTGATCTTGATCTGCTCTGTATCAATAATTACCATTATTGAGATTCTGGAGTGCAACCTTAAAAACAAAAGTGTTTTTAATCATTAATCACTAGCAAAAAGGAGTCTCAAATATTAGCAGATGTTTAGAGATTCTCTCTCCTGCAGCTGCACAGGAGAGAAACCATTTTCTGCTATCAACTATAGTTCAAAGAAACTTGATTTGAAAAGGTTTCAAAATGACAATAACTTATGTTCCCACTCAGTAAGGAGAATTAGGTAATTTTTCTTTAACTAAATAATTTTTTTTCTGTTCTCAGTTAATATAAATCTATTCTTGGAAGTACATGTGGGCTTCAGAAATTGTTGTGGTATCCTGTAAAAGTAACCTTTAACCTCTGAGAGTAAATGTGTGGTTCTGCTTGCTTGTCTCGCTTGACACTTTGCTGCCCTGATAATAATGTTATAACTGGCATCTCTTTTCCTAAATGGTATAACATTTATGATATTTATTAAATCATAATAGGATTGGTGCCACTTCATTCTTTTCCTAGAGCATGCAGATAATTAAAAACATATATATGAATCTGCTAGGTTTCTTAAAGAGTTTGAAAGACTATGTTTCATTTGCATTCACTAAGGCCTCGTGTGGTCTGGTCCTCTGAGCAGCCCAGCTTCCCCTCTGGACACACTCTCTGCACCTCTGGTCTTTCAGGCAAGAAGCTTCCTTGCCGCTCCCCAAGCACACATGCCTTTATCAACCACAGGGCTCTGCTCTCCACAGGTTCTTCCCTCTGCCTGGAGTACCTTCCCCTCAGCTTCTCACAAGTAAGTCCTATTGTTATTCTAATGCAAGCTCAGCTATTTTGCATCTCGGTTCCAAATCGAGAAAGGAGTACGTCAAGGCTGTGTATTGTCACCCTGCTTATGTAACTTCTATGCAGAGTACATTATGTGAAATGCTGAGCTGGATGAAGCACAAGCTGGAATCAAGATTGCTGGGAGAAATATCAACAACCTCAGATATTCAGATGACACCACCCTTATGGCAGAAAACAAAGGAGAACTAAAGAGCCTCTTGATGAAAGTGAAAGAAGAGAGTGGAAAAGTTGGCTTAAAATTCAACATTCAGAAAACGAAGATCATGGCATCCAGTCCCATCACTTCATGGCAAACAGATGGGGAAACAATGGAAACAGTGACAGACTTTATTTTCTTGGGCTTCAAAATCACTGCAGATGGTGACTGCAGCCATGAAATTAAAAGACGCTTGTTCTTTGGAAGAAAAGCTATGACCAACCTAGATAGCATATTAAAAAGCAGAGACATTACTTTGCCAACAAAGGTCCATCTAGTCAAAGCTATGGTTTTTCCAGTAGTCATGTATGGATGTGAGAGTTGGACTGTAAAGAAAGTTGAGTGCTGAAGAATTGATGCTTTTGAACTGTGGTGTTGGAGAAGACTCTTGAGAGTCCCTTGGACTGCAAGGAGATCAAACCAGTCCACCATAAAGGAAATCAGTCCTGGATGTTCATTGGAAGGACTGATGTTGAAGCTGAAGCTCCAATACTTTGGCCACCTGATGTAAAGAACTGAGTCATCTGAAAAGACCCTGACGCTGGGAAAGATTGAAGGCAGGAGGAGAAGGAGAAGAAAGGGACAACAGAGGATGAGATGGTTGGATGGCATCACTGCCTCAATGGACATGAGTTTGAGTAAGTTCTGGGAGTTGGTGATGGACAGAGAAGCCTGGTGTGCTGCAGTCCATGGGGTTGCAAAGAGTCGCACATGACTGAGCAACTGAACTGAACTGAACTGAACTGAAGCTCAGCTAACCCTCACAAAAGAAGTGAAAGTCTCTCAGTCGTGTCTGACTCTGCGACCTCATGGATCATACAGTCCATGGAATTCTCCAGCAAGAATACTGGAGTGGATAACCGTCCACTTCTTCAGGGAATCTCCCCAATCCAGGGATTGAACCCAAGTCTCCTGAATTGCAGGCAGATTCTTTACCAGCTGAGCCACAGGAGAAGTCCATAAGCCTTGGCAAATCCCACAGCCTGGAGCAAGACACTCCCCCCACTTTTTGTTTTGCTCCCCTTTCATTCAATGTATCTGTCAGGATTGCAATTTTCACATTAACTGGTGTGATCTTTAGATTAATATCTGTCTCCCCAAATGCACTCTGTGCTCCGTGACTGCAGGTTCTGTATTTGGTTTTAGTCACCATTCCATGTCCCATGCTGAGCACAGGACCTGGTGCCTAGTGGGCACCTAGGTATTTGTTGAATAATTGCATGTCAAGAATAAACCCTGATATATATCGTGACTCTGAGAAAGCATGCCAGAGTCCCCAACTCAGGGTACATGCAACCCAAACACCAAGTTACAGTGTCCATCAAACCCAAGAACTTCCTAATATTCGTCCTTCTCCCAAAAGCCCTAAATAAAACAGAAGTGATGGAAAAGAAAATATTCTACTCCTATAGCACAAAAAGTAAAATAAATCTTTGCTCCTTATTGAAAGAGCCCAACTGAGTCCCTAGGGAAAAAGTGGTGTAGTTTAAGCCTAAACTCTGAAGCATCAACTCGATGATTCTGAACATTTCTTGGAGTGCATATTTTTATCCATGCAAAAAAAGCATAGTGTAACTGAGAGCTGGGTCTAGAAGAATTAACCTGGTTGATCATCAGAATTAACTAGAAACCATAAAAAACTAAAACACCTAGCTTCTTTGGCCTTGTCCTCAGCAATTTTAATTCAATGGTTTTGGGAATCTGAATTAAAAAAAGAAAAAACTCCAGAGGCTGCTACTGCATAGCCTGGGTTGGAAAATATTGACCTGGAACAAGAAGACCTACAGCTACCTGTGCTGACTTCAGGAAATCCTAGTCTTCATTTCTTTCTGCACAAAATGAGGCCAGTAATTCTTGCTCTGCCTTCCTCACACAAACCCAAAAATAAATTGAGACAATGGGTTGAAAATTATTTTGGAAAAAAATCAAAGTCCTTTTCAAATGTAGGGCAATATTGTTAGAGTCCCTCTAAGTTACCAGGGAACATACCTCAGAGTCCCTTGATCACTTCAATCTGAGTTGGGTCTGGATATAATTAAACAAACAAACAAACAAACAAATTTCCTCAAGGTGAGTACTGCAGTCTAATGCCTTGCTACATAGTTACCAGATTTATCCCCACATTCTTCCCTTATCATCATGTGTTTAGAAGACCTTAAAATACTCACAATCTGAACATCTGGTCTCTGCTGCTCCAACCCTTCCCTGGACCCCACATTTCCTTTATGCTTAGGTCTCATAAGTCAGCACTCCCAGATCTTTAATGTGAAAGATTCCAGACTCTAACTGTTCTATTGACACCTCTTCTTCTTCACCCTAACCTCTAAAAATACTGTTCTTCTTGTAGGATGCCCTTGCACTGCTTAGAAAAACATTATCACCTGTATCACTTGCTATTCCTTCTGTCTCAAGGGCTCCTCCCTTCCTCCTGTTTCAATCACTCACTTTTTTTTCAGTCTTTACTCAAATGTCACCTCAGTGAGGTCTTTCCTTGATAATTTTAAATGCCACTGCTTCCCAATACTCCAATTCTGCTTTATTTTCATCCTTCTAACTGGTGGTGTGGGGGGTGGTTTAGGAGCAAATCCTAGCCTATTACTAAAGACAAAAAGGGTTTGTTGTTGGTTAATTTTCTTTTTTTTAAGTAAATCATACTATGTATTTCACTTTTATTTTATTTATTGCCTTGCCAGCTCTGTGTATGTCACCCTCTGTTTTGTTCACTACCACATCTCTGACATTTAGAACAGTGCCTGATACATGATAGGATCTCAGTCAACACTTGCCGAATGAATACATTTGTCTGGCTTGGATATGCTGTCCCCTCTACTTTTTGTGCAGTCCTGACTCTGGCCTATGCGGCAACCACACTGATTTGCCAGGAACAGTGTGGATCAGGGGCAAGAAAGCAGTCTGGGAGTCAGAGGGGTCAAGTTTTAAATTCCTGCTCTGCCACTTATTTGCTGTGTGATCCTGATAAACTTGCAAAAACTCTGAGTCATATTCCCTATACTTGGCAAATGGAGATAAACATCAAGGCTGGTGTGATGATGAGAAAGAGCACATGTAAGGTACCCAGAATCTTGGGCTCATTATGGTAGCCAATCATTTCGTGAATCACTGTGCTCACCTGACATCCTACATTTGGCATATGATGTTTCAGCTATGCCCATAGAAAATAAAAATGTTCCTCACTTCTTCTTAGATGTTCAGATTTGAGATACTCAATCCTACCCACCAGCTTGCACTAATCTTACCTTGGTGGCAATGGCAGACACTGCAGCTGTTCTCTTTGCAGTTATGACATTTCCATCCATGACCTTGGAGGAAAGGAGAGACAGTGAGCAAGGGGCACCTGTATTCACCACTTAAGCAGAGAGAAGATGCTCTAAAAGAGTTAGCCCTAGAAAGCATTGTGTGTGTGGGGGGGGGGAGGGGGGGTTCAGTTGTGTCTGACTCCTTGCGACCCCATGGACTGTAGCCCACTAGACTCCTCTGTCTATGGAATCTTCCAGGCAGGAATACTGGCTAGAGTGGATTGCCATTTCCCACTCCGGGGAATCTTCCTGATCCAGGGATTGAACCTGTGTCTCCTGCATCTCTTGTGTCTCTTGCATTGACAGGTGGATCCTTAACCACTAGTACCTGGGAAGCACCAGAAAGCATCTAACAGTCTGCAAGGAGAGTGTTTTGCCTGGAACCAATTCCTCCACTTATAAGAAATGCAACTTTGAACAAATATTTTAATCTATAGGTACTTTGTTTTTCCTACCTGTAAAAACAAAGATAATGGCAACCATTCAGAGGGTTTTTGTGAGGTTTAAAAGCATTGGCATAAATGAAGCCATCTAACATATGGCCAGCCCTCAAGAAATGCCCATTTGCTTTATTTGCCCCCAGATTCTCAAAGTAAGTCACCTGACATCTGTGCAAAGGCCCTGAAACTCTACCTCAGCGGCTCTCAACTCCTCCTGCACACATGGGTAGGTTTGTGAAGATACTGATGCTCAGGTATATCCTTAGGCTAACTGAATCTGGATCACTAGGGATAGGACCCGGACATCATTGCTTTTAAAATCTCCCCAGGTGGTTCTGAATTACACCTGGCTAGTAATAACCACCATCCTTTGCTCTGCTGTCCTCTGTTTATATTATTCATCTCAACTCATCCTCATCAAGTACTATCAGTATTCTCATTTTATGAACGAGGAAGTCAGATTCAGAAAGAATTTCAGGCCTTGTCATTTAGTTCCAAAGCCTGAGGTGGTACCAATTTCCTGGGTAAGCCCTCTTGGTGAGTAGTATGGATGTCATTTCCGTTGGGTGAGCAGAAGTTGTCAAGAACTAAATACTCTTTTCAGAGGAGTAATACATGGCCAGCTTCCTTGGGGAGCCTGAAATTCTGAGAAAATTTTAGAGGAAAGTTGTCAGAATTGAATGAGATCAATTTCTCCTGCCTGGCACATAATAAGTGCCCAGTAAGTGGCAATTATAAAGGCAGAAGAGCATAGGCTACTATGCTAAGACAGTATAGGTCCTGGGCTTACACAGAGTAGGTATGAAGTCCATCCATGCCCCTGTTAGCTATGTAAACTTGGCGATGTTTGGCATAGTGGCTCTATGACTCATTTTTTTCATCTACAAAATGGGGTAATAAAATTACCTCACAGAGTGGTTTTAAGAATTAAAAGCATTAATACATATGAAGTATTTAGAATAGTGCCTGACATACACAAAGTAATTCACAAGTACAGACCACTACTATTTTTTTTTGATATTATATTAAATGTTAAAACAAGTCACTGTGTACCCCTTAGAAAAAACTCCCAGGCATTAGAGAGCGCCCCTAACCTGTAACTCATGTAACTTCATGTTATAGATTCACTAAATAAAAGTTTCCTTAGCTACTGGATTTGTGCAACCTGTACATTTGCAGTAACTGGTATAGGACAAGATCACGACAAGAATGACGAGATCATCACTTCCACAAGTTCACACACTGGAAGCACCAGTGGTCTCTGATGCTGGGCTACATCCTCAGGCAGTCCTAGAAACAGATGCACAGTCACAGGTAAGCTTCACAGTCACCGGCATCCAGTCATTCAGAGAGGGGCATATATGATCACATGCAATACTCCCCGTTGCCTGAATTCTGAGCCTAGCTCTGTGCACAGGGCAGGGAGCTGCTCACCGCCAGAAGGGAGCCGTTGTTCGGCTGGAAGAGCAGCACTGTGGCCTGATGGGAGGGGACCGCGGAGGCGCTGCTGTGACCCTCATAGAAGGTGACCAGCTTGGTGGTCAGGGCGTCCTCTGCGGCACTGTAGGCGGGCATGACCCCCAGGAAACTACAGGAAGAGAGGGAGCAGTTTCAACCCCTTCCCGTCAATGATGAGACCTCCTATCAGGTCCCCATGTCCCTCACTCACCGCCCTACTGGCCTTCTCCCTCCTTCATCCCCACCCCTCTGCCGTTCCGTTAGCAGTGCGCAGAGCACGCTCAAGAGTCTGCCTCTGGGTGAGAAAAACCACCCCAGTTCTGCCACTTACTAGCTGCCATCACCTTGGGTCCTTCGCTTCACCTCTTGAGTCTCGGTTTTTCCAAATAGCTGCATCAATAGCCACGTACATATGGAGTGTGTTGAATGAAACCAGATAACGGCTTTAAAGCGCCCACAGTGGGTTGCACACATTAGGTGAAAGGTGTTATTAGTAGGGGTTAGGGAAGCCCTCCTTTCTTTTCTCCTGCGGTTTCCCTTCTCACCCCTGCCTTTCCTCCTTTCCAGGGTCTCCAGCCCCGGCCCCGGCCCTCCTCACTTACCCGCTGTGCTTGGCGATTGGCACCACGGTGCGCACGGGCTGCACGACCCCTCCGTCGGGGCCGCTGGAGAAGTTGGCCAGAGCGGTCTCCAGGGGCGGGATGAGCAGGCTGGAGCTGCGGAGGTGGTCCTGTACCTCGGCCGCGCTCAGGAACACCGGCCTCGAGCTCATGTCGCCGCCGGACTTCTAACCTCAGAGGGCTCACCGCGATCCGCGTTTCTAGTGCTGCGCCCTAAATGAGAGCCGGGAAAGCGGGGAGCGCTGCCGCCTACAGGTCGCCGCCCAGCTCGGAGGGCGGAGCAGAGCCGTTTTCCTCCCACCCCCATCTGCAGGATTGGGAGAATTGGGTCCGCTCCAGTGGCGGTTTCTCTTAGGTTGGAGTTGAGGCAGCGGGCGGGCTGGGACTTGGTATCCTTGGGTCCACTTTCTCAATGCCTGTAGTTAGCTGTGGTCACATTCCTTGCAAAACGTGTTAGTTTGGCGCCCCACTTTTGTCTCCACCAACTCCACTATTTGCTGTCTAGGCCCTGCTGCCAGGGAAAGAGGGGACAGAGGAGATGAGGGTAAACAGTGACAGGCTCCCCTATTTTTTAAATTATTGCCTACATCTTAGGAGGTCTTGGATGTAAGGCGATAGAAGGTTATTAAAAACCATTTTCCTTCCAATTCTGTCTCCATCTGGAGTCTCTTACCCCGAACTCCTTCCCACCCCCATTCCCATCCCCACCCCCAGTTGCCTGCCTGTTGCACAGTTTTCTCTTGCGGTTAACTAATTCAAGTAATTAATTCACCTTTAGAAAAGGGGAAAGTTCCCAGGACAAGATATAATGTTAATTACAAATTGCTTAATGCATCAGATGTCATATCAGCAGAGGAGTTGGGATCTGCCCTTGAAGTGAGACTCCAAAACTCTACTCTTAACCATTAGGCTACACTGGCAGAGAGGTTGGGAGATGGCATTTCAAGCCAGGTGAAACCCAGGAGTGGAAGGAATGTTGTCTCCTTGAAAACAGTATCTTGCAAGACTGGAACCAGGAACTAGCTCTATCTAGGAGCAACAGGCATAAGACTGGGATGCTTCTTGAAGAGGCTAAGGAGGGTGATTCTTTGAAAAGGAATTACATGGCTAAAGAGATTAAATATTTAGAAAGATGGATCTTATGCCAATACAGAGGATGAAAGAAATGAGCAGGAGTGTAGCTTGGGATACCGGTAAGGAGACTTCAGTGCTTAAGTTGTGTTCCCTTGATATTTTCATTGGGAGCTACTTAGGGCATTTCTTAGGAAATGGTCACTTCATAATGAAAGACAGTATAGTGAAAAAAAAGCTTATTTTAGTTATACAATTCTGTTTCTTCAATTCACCATCTCTAGAAGTTCATGCTCAGGGCTACTGGGATTACAGAAGTGTTTATGACTCATTATTTGTGTTGTTATAATTATGATGATATAACATTTATTAAATTTAGAAAACAACAGGGGTATAAAGAAAACAGCAGTTTGGCTCATTATTCTAAGGGAGAAGAAGCAAAACTGAATACCAACTAAAAGAGAAATGAAATAGGAAAGCCAGATGCCTTTTTTCCCTTCGCCGTTGTGAATTTAAAAGTTGAGCCATGGGACTTCCCTGGCGGTTCAATGGGTAAGACTTCACCCTTCAATGCAGGGGGTGCCGGTTCAATCCCTGGTCAGGGAACTAAGATCCCACATGCCTCGTGGCCAAAAAACCAAAACAGAAAACAGGAGCAATATGGTAACAAATTCAATAGAGACTTTAAAAACAGTCCACATTAAAAAAAAAAAAAAAAAAAACTTAAAGAAAGAATAAAAATTGAGCCCTGGTCAAGTTGAAATCTTTTGTATTTGTTTCTATCAAATCTTATAGGAACAGGACTAGTCTGTAAATTACCTGAAATCATGTTACAGCTTTGTGTAACATCACCCAGGTCCTCAGTAAAGTAGCACTGGGAAAATTGGTCTTGACTGAATTAGTTCTATTGGGACTGGAGTCTCAGGCAACTAACTGTTCCCTAGAATCCAGAGCCTTTTCAAAACTAATATTATGCAATATGCAGTATCTCATTAGGATCAGCATTTGTACAACCTGGGCAGATAGAATAGAGTTCTTGGGTGGTCACATATGCTGGGAGTCTAACTGCCAAGTTCTGTGGATGCTCTAATAGCTTCTGAGAGCTCTTTTATTATTTACTTTAAATATATTGTGTTGACTTTTACTACTCTTTTTAGCATCACTAGAAACAAAATTAACCTGCTATTGTAGTTTAATATACTATTTCAATCATTTTGAATTTGCATCAAAGTAAATGTATAATTAAAAAATTTTTCATGCAAATTGAAAATGATTGAAATAATACATTAAACTATAGTAGCAGGCTAATTTTGTTTCTACTGATGCTAAAACTAAAAGCATGCTTGGGCTTCCTTGGTGGGTCAGTTGGTAAAGAATCTGCCTGCAATGAAGGAGACCTGGGTTTGATCCCTGGGTTGGGGAGATCCCCTGGAGGAGGGCATGGCAATCCAGTATTCTTGCCTGGAGAATCCCCAAGGAAAGAGGAACCTGGCAGGCGACGGGGTCACAAAGAGTTGGACATGAATGATCGACTAAGCACAAATGCATGATTATTCAAAAGACAATAATCAAAAGATTATTAGAAAGGTCTTTGAATCACCTCAAATCATCTTCCTTATGTGGCTTTGGGTAATATCACCCAGGTCTTAATTTTAGCTGCCAAACATTATGGTCTGGTTTTAACTCAAGAGTCTGGAAAGAAGTCATCATAAAAGGGGAGGGCAATCTTCTTTCTCCTCCCCAGCCTGCTGGTAGCAGCAGTGTTTCTGAGGAAGCTGGTTGGAATGCCAGGGGACCAGCGCAGGTCTGATGGCCAACTGTAGAGCAATAATTTGGAATACAGGTTAGAAGCTGGTTTTGCAGCGTGGACTGACAGCAGATCAATCAGTGTACAGCAAACACTGGTCCAAATGCTGCAGAGGCAGAGCGGATTGCTGGTGTCACACCACTTGGCTGAGCTATGGAGTTAGCATACTTTTGTATAATAGTAAAATACCTTTCTAGGATTAGTTTACAAGGAGTTTCCATGGAAATCATATTGTTTCTTTCCTGATAGGTGTGATACATTGTATGAACGGATATTCTAACATCTCAATTTGTTTCTAAGTTTTTTTAATGGAGTTTTAAGACTTTTTAGCTGAAATCCCCACCAAATCACTTGCTGGTAGAGTATAATGCATTTTGTGATTCCTAAGTAAGGGTTCTGGGTGGGGTTAGCCAGTTTGGATTTGAATTCTAGTTCTGCCACTGTACATGCTGGATAACCTTAAACAAGACTTAATCACTCTGATCCTGTTACTTGCACTGTAAAATCAGATAGTAATATCAGCACCAATCTCCCAGAGTTGTGGTGAGGCATAAAGGAACTCATTTTGCAAAATGTTTAGCTGGCAGGCAGGCTTCCCTAGTAGCTTAGCTGGTAAAGAATCTGCCTGCAATGCAGGAAACCCCGGTTCAATTCCTGGGTCGGGAAGATCCCCTCCAGAGGGTATAGGCTACCCACTCCAGTATTCTGGCCTGGAGAATTCCATGGACAGAGAAACCTGGGAGGCAGTCCATGGGGTCACAAAGAGTCACATACGATAGAGTGACTTTCATCTTCACTTAGCTGTCAGGTGTTTATTATGTAAGTATTCTTCATGCTTTTTAGTTTATATCATTAAAATAATGAAAAGTTAGTAGGAATGACTTACTAGAAAGAATATTAATAAACTTATTAGTTTTGTAGCGGCCAGTAGCCAGAATGCTCATTAACTCTCCTGTCCCTGCTCTCCACTGAGACCTTGTGCTGGGACATATCTAGAGGGTTTGCAGTTCTGGAAGTTTCTTGCTAGCCCCCCACAGACTCTGAGGAGAAGGTGGCTACTTGCACTTTCCTAGCCTTTCTGCCACTACCACACTGAAGCTGACAGTAGTTAGGGACATACTCTGAGCTCAAAATACTCAGTACTGAAGATTAAGAACAACAACAAAAAAAAATTTAATGCAATATTGAAAAAAAACACCAAAAAAATTCCATAAGAAAAATAACAGATTTTTAAATAAAGATAGTCAAGATTGCTGACTCTTCCTTTTGTTTTATCTCCCCTATAGTACCTTACAGTACTTTTAGGTTTTTATTTTGAAAAAAAATTTAAATGTCACATGAAAGTATTTATCTTGATTATTGAGTTGGTTTCCCCTTAAATATCATAGCCAGGGCAAATGTCTCACTCCTAGTCTCTATTCGAGGAAGTAGGGGACTGTGGGGTTGGCCAGGAGGAGCAAGTGGTGAAATATTTGGGAAGCCTGAGAAAGGTGGATTGGGCGCCCCTGGAGCATGCAGGCTGCCAGGAATGGACAAGCTGGGGACTGGAGCTCCAGGGCCCGTAGGCGGAGAAGGGGCCAAGGCAGCGCTTGCTGGGTCTTCCTGCCTGCCCGATACAGGGGTCGGACCGCGCCTTTGCGAGGTCTGCGCGCGGCGGAGGCTGTAAACCTGTCCGCGGGCCGGTGGCGGGGCGGTTGGGGAAAGCGTTGGAGGAGGCGCGGTGCTCGGTTGATTAGCGCCCCTCTGCGTCGAGGCGGAGGCAGTTGCCGAAGCCCCAGCGGTGAGCATACGGACCTTCTCGCCCTTTCCTCTCTTCCCTAAACCCTCCTACTCCCTGAATTCTGCTTGCTCCGTCGCCCTTCCAGAGCGCTCTCCCGCTGCGCGCCACCGCTCCTCAAAAACGCCACAAATGCACAAAAACCCAACTAGGAAATTAGAGTTAACTTCTAACTTTTTATTTTGGTTGTAACTTAGTGATTAGGAGGAAAGTTTTGGGAGGTTCAGTCAGCTTTGATTATAATTTGACTTCAGGCAAGTGACTTGACCTCTAAATCTCAGCTATAAGGTGGGGATATCATTTTATTCATCCTATAGGATTTTTGCTTTTTAAGAAAATAAAGATAAAAGTCACCAGTTTCACTATTTTAAATTATTTGGAATTCAGTGACTTTAATTACATTCATTATGTTGTGAAACTGTCACCACTAATGGTGGAACATTTTAATCTTCCCTAAAATAAACCCTGTACTCAGGAACAGTCATTCCTCAGGCTCCCCATTTCCACCCTCTGGCACCACAAATTGACTTTTCTGTCTGTATGCATTTGCCAGTTCTGGACATTTCTTATGTCAGTGGAAATAATCAATAAGCCAGTTGAGAATAGGAAAAAATACAGTTGCAACTGAATCAACCCGAGGACTGCAGCCTGGGAGACTGGCTTCCAGATAACTGAGGAACTGCTCCAGGGAAGCCATGGTGGTTTTCTGCATAGTATTATACCTCAGCAGAGCAAATGTTAGTGGAGGAGTGTCTGGAGGCCTCTCCTCCTGTGGCCCTCATTCTTGGTAAGGATGCAAAGAAGAGTCTAAGGTCCTACCTGTTGCAAGCAAGTTTCTTAACGATAAGGAAAGAAAGAACAGGTTGGCAAGCGGTGGGACGCCGCTGAACGACTGAGCACACACGAAGAACAGAGAGAATACCTTGAGAGAGGCGGGCCATGCAAAGGGAGGCAATGGCCCTGGAAGGCTGGGGAACAGAGATTTTAAGTCAAGGTCATTTGCATAATCCAGGGGATTATGGATGTACAGACTTGATTGACAGCTGCGGGTTATATAACCAGATGCTCTACTGCACATGTCCTTTTCATAATTCAGTCTGTTATAATTAGATGTGTATATTCATGAAATATTTGTAAGTAGTTAATGAGTCCAATGGGCACCAAAAGATTAGTACATAATGGTGTGAGGTGTGTGTTTGTGCTGGAGTAGGGAAAGTTGGCTGTGNCCTTTTCATAATTCAGTCTGTTATAATTAGATGTGTATATTCATGAAATATTTGTAAGTAGTTAATGAGTCCAATGGGCACCAAAAGATTACTTTAGTACATAATGGTGTGAGGTGTGTGTTTGTGCTGGAGTAGGGAAAGTTGGCTGTGTCCCACTAGTTGGCTGGTGGGTGATTTTTCTGGCCCCTTGACTATTTTGGAGTATTGATGGGGGCATATTTGGTGGGGATGGTAAATTGCTTGGTGCGATTAGGCAACCACTGGATGTTTAGCTGAAGGATGCCACCTTTCCTTGCTCTTGGCTAACTTCCTGCTTAACAGAAAGAACACCAAACAAGTAGGAATACATTCCTTTAAGGTTTCACAAAAACAAACACACAAAAATAGATAGAAATGTATACAGCATGTCCATATAGCCTTGGTACCCGAGAAAAGGAGTCTTATCCTCCAAGGAGTATCAGCACTGACATCTCAAGAAGGGAGGCATTTAATCTTTATTTTTATTTATTTATTTATTTTTTCCATTTATTTTTATTAGTTGGAGGCTAATTACTTTAAAACATTGCAGTGGTTTTTGTCATACATTGAAATGAATTAGCCATGGATTTACATGTATTCCCCATCCCGGTCCCCCCTCCCACCTCCCTCTCCACTGATCCCTCTGGGTCTTCCCAGTGCACCAGGCCTGAGCACTTGTCTCATGCATCCAACCTGGGCTGGTGATCTGTTTCACCCTAGATATACATGCCACTTCCCATCTTATCTGCTTTTGAAACTCATACTCATCTGTTTAGTGAATTTTTCTCTACTCGCCTGTGCCCCCAAAGAGATGTAGAGTCATCACTCTGTGTCCCCATAGCTCTTTGAGTCCTTTTCATGTCATGTTACTTCTTTCTTATCTTCTCTACTAGTCTGAACCTCTTGAGGGTTTGGATTTTTCTTAGCTGGTGTAAAACAAGCATCTGGCACAGAATTGATTACCATTGTTTATTTATTGAATACTGAATCTCTTTTATTTTTAACTCCTGGGCCTTATAGCACATATCTGATTCCTTTATATGATGGTCCTTCACATGTCTGATGACAAAAATTTTGTGTGTGTATGTGTTGCTTTCTCTTTCTTCTTTTTCTGGATATGCTGCAGTTTTAGTATTTAGTAGCTTTATCATCTTTGGAAAGATCAGTGATCATACTAATTGATCTGTAAACAGAGACAAATGCCCTGCTTTGCCTGCGTAATAGAATGAAGTATAAAAGAGTTTGTAGATTTGCAGGGTGAATGCTTAAAGGAGATTAGAAATGTGACTGCTTTTAGTAAACCATATGAAAATTAATATGTGAATGGTGAAAAAAGACTTACCATATAGAGGCTGAGGGTTTGAACAAGACTCATGGTTCTACAGGTTTGCCTTGTGGCTCAGTTGGTAAAGAATCTGCCCACAATGCGGGAGACCTGGGTTCGATCCCTGGGTTGGGAAGATCCCCTGGAGAAGGGAAAGGCTACCCACTCCAGTATTCTGGCCTGGAGAATTTCATGGACTGTATAGTCCATGGGGTCGCAGAGTCGATCATGATGCAGCGACTTTCACCTGGAGAAGGAAATGGCAACCCACTCCAGTATTCTTGCCTGGAGAATCCCATGGACGGAGGAGCCCGGTAGGCTACAGTCCATGGGGTCTCAAAGAGTCGAACACGACTGAGTGACTTCACTCACATGGTTCTACACATTGCCATATGTCTCTTGGGGGCTATAGACAAGCAAGAATAATACCTTGTTTTTCTGAGTTGTCAGAAGAATACAGTGTTTTGATAAAATTGCTGATAAACTGATAGGTACAGTGTCTGTGTAGAAAGAATGGTTTTAATGTTTTTTATGAACTTAAAAACATAGTATAGTTCTATTAAATTTTTGGAAGTGTAGTTTTTTTTTTTCCAGCATTAATCATTGTTGGTTTCTTTATTACTTCTTGCTAGTATAAAATATAGGGATAATATTAAATCATTATGTAGAAGCTCTGTTTATCTATTTAGTAGTCTTTCTTGCCAAACCCTTCACTTTTTTTTTACTGACTTTTGTGTGATTGGGAGATGTTTACCAGGCAGTTGGTGGTGTTTTGGTTTCTGGGTAAAATCGCATCAACAGTAAGAAAGCAGTCAGGGGAAATGACTGTAGTTAAAGATCATATTGATCAGAGAGTTAATGAGGTGAGAAAAAAATCTTATGTTTATGACTTTTTCAAAATTGACTTTTGTCATGGGACACAAGCAATGAAAGATGATATTAAAACATAGCCCCAATTTTGGGATTTGTTCAGAATCAAATGAGTTTTTGACTAAAAACTTTTGGAGATAGAGACAAAAAATTTCATATAGACCCCCTGGTATAATTTTGGTATTTTTCTTTCTAGTCACTGTCTATATGGCACATAATTTTTATGTTGTAATCATGGTATATGTACAACCTTTTATGTACATTATGCCATTTTTCTTTGTTGCCACACTATCTTTAAATCATCAATTAAAATTTTTAAAAATGCTTAAATACATGTTTATTTGAAGGAAAAGAAAAAGTACCTAAAGTAAATCTTCCACCAACAAATTCCTTTTTTTAACCCACAATTAACCACTTCTAATACTTTTCCTTCTGTATTTATATATGTGTATGGTTTTATTTTTTACACATAAGCAAGATCATACTACTTACTGTTTTTCAATTTGTTTTTGGTTAACAGTGTGTTGGCGATCTTTTCATGCCACTGCCTACAGATTTCCCTATAATATTTAAAATGTCTGTATAATGTTCCAGTGAATCAATGCAGTATTAATAGTGGCCAATAAAAGTGCTATCTATTGAGTACTCACTGAGCTGTAAGTGCTCTGCCATGCTCTGATACCTGTGTTAAATCCAGTGTACAACCCTGTGAGGAAGACTGTAATATCTCCCCATTCTACAGGTGAGGTAACTGAGTCTGAAATATTAAGTGAATTGTCATAGGCCTCACAGCTTTCATGTGGAAAAGTTGGCATTCAGATCCAGTTCTTTACAGATCTAAAGACTGTTCTCTTTAGTATACTGAATACTGCTGCTAATGATGTGCATACTGCTGCATAATGCTCCTTTTATGGATGTTGATGTTGTTTTCAATATTTTGCTCTAATAGAAAATGCTGTAATGAACATATAGTCTTTCCCTTTATATTTTCGATTCCCTTATATGGGATTATTGGTGAAAAGATAATTTTTGTGTGTATGTGGGAATCAGGGTTCCATTAATTTTAAGAGTGATGAGATCATTAAGAATAATATCATTGACCTGTACTTTTACAATTCTTCAAGATATTTTCATCTTTAATTGTGAACTTAAGGCCAATATTTTAAAATGCAGGTCCCATAGCTTCTCTGTTTCGACCCGAAACTGAAGAGATTAATTAATTATTTAATTAATAAGTAATTTCAAAGGTCACTTCTATCTTCAAGTTTCTATAACTCTGAAGTCTATAAAATTAAGTGGTAGGCTTATCTCAGCTAAATGACTTCTATTCTGTTCGTGTTTGAACACTGATCATTTCTGTTCTTTGATTCAAGAATTACCTTTTGTTATTCTTGAAAGCCCAACTTACTGTACATCTTTTTTTCCCCCTAATGTGAAGTTGGATATGATTGGGAGAATCTTTTAAGTTGCCTGTTAATGGTCATATATGATTTTACTTCATGTGTGTAAAGATAGTTTTAGGGCTGATTTCAAGAAATTAAGTGTTAAGCAATTGTAACATGTTT